TGCCCCCGTATACCCTGCGCCTCTGTACACATTGCACCCCCATGCCCCCTGCACCCCTGTACACCCTGCACCCCCACCCCCCCTGTGCCCCCGTATACCCTGGGACCTTTCTTGGTGAGACTGACAGCAGTCACAGTTGTTCTATGGCAGAGGAGCCTGACCCTGACCTCCTTCCAAACATAACCAATAGCACTTTCTTTGCTGGGCACGATGAGGCTGTAATCCCAGGACATGGAGGCTGATGGGATTGCCATAAATTCAAGGAAAACCTGCACTATCTAGTGAATACCCAGCCGGGCCTGGGCTGCAGAATGAGACACTGTCTCAAAGAACCAAACAAGGCAAGTGCTTCCTTTTGAGGCTAACAGATGACCTTCCGTTCCTCCGTGGTAAGTGCTTCAGAGAGTTGCATGGCTGTTCCCAGCCTCTAGGACCTTTTTACATAAAGATAATAACATGTAAATAAAGCAAAGATGAGCACATCCAAACGAAACAATTTAGCGGACGCGTTTTTGCTTGGTTTGGTATTGGTTTTTGAGGCAGAGTCTCCCTGTGTAATCTAGCCTGCAGCTTGCACAGCTGTGGGCTCAGCTTCCAGGGTGCTGGAGTGGCAGGTGACTGTCACCACACTGTTGACAGCAGGCTCTTTCTATGCTCATCTCACTGGCCAATGAGGAAGTTACCAATGGACAGGAAACAAAGAGAAAGTAATGATTAGTTGTTACATGCCCTTCTTGCAGAATTGTGAGCTTAAAACCCATGATGTATCATAAACCTGAGGCGGCGAGACTACCGTGGACTGTCATTGACGTTGGAGAGGGCTGCGGTGGGGGTGAGGGGTTTCCAGGCAGCTGGATGTCACCGGGACATGTGTGTTTGGGAGTCTAGGAGAAATTACCTTTTAAGAAGGAAGACAGCTGCCATATGAGAACTAAGTCGACTGAACACTATAATATCTCGCAACTATTGATTTCCATACTGGGAAGCTGATGGAAAGATCCTGGGACCCTCATCTCTGTAGGAGTAAAATTCACATACTAAAACATTTAAGAGTCACTAACTACCCCAGTCCACCCACTCCTACAGTGCCTGTCACTCCACAAGAAACCCGTCCCCGTACGCACTCCCTGCGTCTCCAGGGCTGCCTGTCCGCCATGGAGTTCCAGTCCTCCAGAGTGTTTGGGTTTTGTTTTGGTTTTGGTTTTTCGAGACAGAGTTTCTCTGCGTAGCTTTGTGCCTTTCCTGGAACTCACTTGGTAGCCCAGGCTGGCCTCGAACTCACAGAGATCGGCCTGGCTCTGCCTCCCGAGTGCTGGGATTAAAGGTGTGCATCCCCACAGCCCGGCGGGTTTTGTTTTTTTAACAGAATTGCACACTGTGCAGTCTTTCGTGACTGTCCTCTTTCGTCTGTATAACGTCCTGAGGCTAGCCTGCTAAAGATGTGTTAGACTTTCATGACTGAGTACCCTTCTGTTGTTATATAGATTGGATACACTGCAGTTTAGTACCTGTTCGTCAGGTGATGGATTAACCCTCCACCCCCAGTGTGTGATGAAAGGATTAAGTTCTGATTGGGGTCTTTTATATTAGATTTCACTCACAGGGAAAGAGGTTTTCTGCCTCAAGAAGCCATTAGAGGCTCTGGTGTTGCCAGACAGTGGTGGCGCACGCCTTTAATCCCAGCATTTGGGAGGCAGAGCCAGGTGGATCTCTGTGAGTTCGAGGCCAGCCTGGTCTACAGAGTGAGATCCAGGACAGGCACCAAAAATACACAGAGAAACCCTGTCTCGAAAGAAAAAGGAAAAAAAAAAAAAAGAAGCTCTGGTGTCACCTGACCCCCCACTTTATTGGTAGAGGCACAGAGGTCACTTATTCAAGAACCCCTCACATGTGGCTGAAGGACGGTGATGTGGCAGCAGTGAACTTGGCTTTAGCCAGGACTAGGTGAGGTCCTTAGTCTCTCCTCAGGTTTTGAGCTCAGCCACGTCACTTCCCTGAGAAATCTGACAGCCTTTGGCAAATGCTGGTTCCCAGGTCACCAAGGGTCAATCAGGCGACACTTTCAAACTGCTGATGGCTGACAGCCAGCTCCTAAGCTTCTGAGGCAGTTGATGCGAGTGATGGACAAAGTCATCCTTCGCCTGTACTTCCCCCTGCGCACCTCCCCCCACGCGGCCCCCACCTGGAAACTAAACTGGAGAAGGTACATGAGTTGTCTGTCCCAGGTCACAAGGCTCATCAGTGGCGGACTGAAAAGGAGCAGTCTCTCCTCATCTTGAGACCGGTTTCTGCCACACATTGAACGGCCAGCTTCAACAAGAAAGGGAAACATAAGGAAAACCAACAGAAACTCCTGTAGGCATCTGGGTAGCCCAAGTCTTCATTCTGAAAACCTTCTATCTGATGTGGCGGAATGGACAGCTTTCCCAGGTGTTCTCAGATGAGGTTCCAGACTGGGGACGGGCCTGTCTAACCCGGGGGGTCACTTTACTGCTTGCTCTTTCCCAAACATTGATCTTTCCAGTAGCTGGACTCTTCTGGGGATTCATAACCCTTTGGGACCCCAGAATTTATAAAGTGTGGCAGAGAGGAAGGTGTGGAGGACCTGAGGGGATTTTATGGGGACCTCGGTGTCTCCTAGTGCCTAGGAGCTGGGACTGCTCACCTCTGACTCAGCTACGGCTGCTTGGAACATGACTTACGGAAGCCCAGAAGGCCCTTTTCCCACGTTAACTTCTCACAGTCTGCTCCCGTTTTATTTATCCTTTATCACCACAATAACCCCACTTGCTGTAAGGATGGAGTGAGGAGCCTGAGCAGCATCAGTGCCTATCGGAGATGCCCGCTCGAGGTTTGACTTCCCTTGACAAGCATCTTTCCTGAATCCTTTGCCATTAGAACCAACAGGTGAAACTCCAGAGCAGGTGGATTCTAATGGAACCTAGGACAAAGGCAAGGCATTCTGAGAGAACGGGAATAGGAACCTCCCAGACACCTGTGGTTGGACCTCTGAGTATGACCAAGGAATGTGGCTTTGTCCCGGCCTGGGGGAAAAAGAGCACCCTAATCAGAAAGCTCACAAACTCAGATTCTCCCCCTTGAATTGGCAGTATACCTTACTGAAACCACCTCAGGAACAGGGAAGCAGTATTCATTTTTTTAAAAAGATTCATTATTTTTATTTTATGTGTATGGGTACTTTGCCTTTATTGTATGTCTGTGATGAGGTGCCCATGGAGGCCAGAAGATTTCCCCCCAGAACTGGAGTTAGAGATGATTGTTAGCCACCATGTGGGTGCTCAGAATTGAACACCAGTTGTCTGGAAAAGTAGCCAGTACTCTTAACTGCTCAGCCACCTCTCCAGAACTATGTGCTCTAGGCATGCCATCCTTAAAAAAGGCAGCATCCTTCTAGTTGGTGATCATGCATCTGGGAAAAGACTCTTCTAGAAGAATCATCTCATTGTCCTAACAATTGGTCCATCTGCGTGTACACAGCTGATCTTTGGTTAAAATTCTGAGGTTCAGCTGATGCCAAAGAATTCTTTATGCTGAACCCCATGGACCAGCATACACAGATCCCAAGGACCTCCAAAGGCCTCACGTACATAGAAGAAGTCTGGGTCAAAGTAAGGCGGCTCTTTGTGGGTCCATTTACATTCCATTTGCATCAGGGGTGGATCAGAGAAGCAAGAATGCCTTTATCTTGAGTGTTTGTTGAGCACTTACTGTGTGTCAAGAGGACTCCAGAAGCAAATAAGCTCACAGGCCAGAAGGGGAGGTAAGACCCATACAGAAAGATCTGGAAGGTGGAGGGGGCTAAGTACTGTGATTGCAAAGGCAAGCTGCCAAGGGGGAGATCACTTCCTGGCAGGAAGAATTTGTAAAGCCGGCTGAGGTGTAAAGGGTGAGTAGGGTTTGAAACACAAAGACAAGAGGGAAGACGTCCCTGGAGGAGGAAGCAGCGGCAGGAAGCTCTGCAGGGAACCCCGAGGAGTTCAAGTAGCTGAGAGACAGGTGCCTGAAGTAACTGGAGAGAGGGAGGCGGAAGGATGCACCACGGAAACCCAGAGACCAGAAGTGGGCAGCCTGGAATGTCAAACTAAAGAAACTGGAGCTTGTTTTCAGTGTGGAATGTGTGAGGTCTTGCAGCAGCCCGGAAGTGACACAGGATCTTGTATATGCGTGCATTGTTCCTGGAGAAAGGCCAGAAATTTTATTACTTAAGGCCAAAGTGCGCTGCTATCGTTGGAGACTCCACACGTGCTGCCAAAAGTTGGGGGCATTGTGGTTTGCAGCTCTGGTGGCTGTCTGGACTTCAAAGGTGGGTTGTCAGTAAACTAGACACGTGTGCGTGATCTCCACAGGAAGACAGACAGACGAGGTTAACAACATGTGCATTGCTCTACGTAAAACATGCTGTCTTTTACGTCTGAATATGTGGAAACAGTGGGTGAGCAGCGCCCAGTAGAGGCCTCTTCTGCGTGCAGTGGCCTGAGGGGAGCCATTTCTGAGGCTGATGGAAACTTGCATTTCCTAAAGAGTGTCATTTCAGGGGGATGGCTGGGTCTCTCCACTACAGATGTGCAGTGGAATGCCCCCTTTGTGGGGCAGATGGGAAACTGGATGGGCATACAGCCAGTCAGTCACCATCATGGCTATCCAGCAGTGCCGACCAGTATGTGAGCCCTCCCAGAGTCATTTCTAGTAAGGACAGGTTAGCAGCCTCCTCACGCCCTGCCCTAGTGAGCCCACAGCCTCCGGTATTCTTCCAGTTGTGAGCTGAGGAGGAGCTGAGTGAGTCACGTGCTTGCCTTGCAATCATGAGGACCAGGGTTCAGACTCCAAGGCCCCCACAGGAAGCCAGGTGGGTATGGCAGAGCCCACCTGGGGCCCTAGCATTTGGGAGGAGGGATCTGGGCGAATGCAGGGGAGAGCGGACGGCTTCTCTGTGAGCCACAGCGGGGACTAAATGACAGCAGGTGAGCCTGAGCTGAAAGAGCCTCAGCCAGCCAAGAGGCCACTCCATCCTCAGCAATGCCCCAAACTGGAGGGAACGGAGCACACGCTGATGTGTAGAGAGGAGCAAGAACCCTGGCAGGCAGGGTTTTCAGCACTGGGCGGACAGGGGTTTCTCTCTCTCTACATATAATTACCATGTCGTCTGCAGGAAGAGAGCCACTGAGGCCGGAATAGACATCCACTGGTGGCTTTTGTGCCCAGATTGGGGGGCAGGGGCTCTGCAGTCAGATGCTGGGGGAAATCCTGGCTCTGTCGTTCATAGCCATAAATGGTCTCGTCTCCTTACGCTCTGCACTGCGCTCTCTTCATCCATAAAAGGGAGTTTTCGGTTGTTTTTTTTTTTTTTTTTAATCTGTAAAGCAATGAAAAGTTCTCGGTTTGGAGGGAGAGAGAGTTTTGCTTATTCCTAGAAGAGTCCTGGCCATGGGAAATGTCCAATGTGAACAGTTTTAAATAAGTGGAACATTGTGTGTGTGTGTGTGTGTGTGTGTGTGTGTGTGTGTGTGTGTGTGTGTGTGTGTGTCTCGGAAGAGTGAGAAAGAGGTAGGAAAGTGAGCAGGAGGGAGCTGCAGTAGTGACAGGTTAATCTTTGGCTGTGGGGAGGGATTTGATTTCCCTCTAATTATCTGCTAGATTAAAAGAAATGAAAGATCAGGATGAAAGTCGGCTTCGGCAATCACCCAGAGCCTCGGGTTACCACACCAGGTCGGCAGTATTCTCCAGCTGCTCTCCATCCTCATCTTCTCATGCAATTTCCATTACTTCCTTCACTTTGGGCAACTCTCAAGGCAGAGGCTAATGTGCGGGGCGTGGGAGAGAGTAGGTCTGAGCCCCAGGCTCCTCCACCCCTGCACTCTAGCAAGTCAGGGCTGCCTGTGAGTGAAGTGCTCCAGCCCCACCCCCACCCCATCCCCACCCCGGCTGCAGAGCCGCCTCTTCCCTGCTGGTGGCTGGCTTCCTTAACATTGAGAGGATCTCTTCTTCCTCCAGACTGGGCTGTACCTCTGCGGCATGGAAGCTACTAGAATGTCAATGAATGCACAATGAATGGAGACCTATGCCAGAGCCTGGGTTGGGGGTGCATGTGAACTGGTGAGGTACAGAATGTAGTAGGAATGCCAACGGGGAAGGGGGGTGGAGGTGGAGCTGGGCCTGCCCCAGGGAACGTAGAACAGGATGGAGGCGGTGTATGTAGAAGCCTCAGCTTCTCAGGAGTTCCAGTGTAGAGCTAATGAAGCTTCTTGGCAACCAGGAAATGGGGACTGTAATATTCACAGCCATGTCACTCATGAAGATGCAAACTAGAAAAAAAACCCCACCCCTTCCCCCATTGAAAAATGCACTGGTTTTACTCCTGAATCTTGGTTTCTGTCCTACTTACAATGCTATGGCAGCATGTTCAGAGGTCTGTCCTGATGGCTGGCTCGGTCCCCGGACACAGGGTCATCCTGTCTTTAAGGTGCCGCTGATATTGACTATTGATTTGACAAGATCCAGGCCACCTAGAAGGCAAGCCTCTGGGATGTCTGGGTATCTAGACTAGGCTAACTGAGATAAGAAAACCCATCCTGAATGTAGGCTCGAGTCCTGGACTGAATAAAAAAGGAAAACTGAGTATCAGCATTCATCTCTCTCTGCTTCCTGCCTATGGATGCAAAGTGACCAGCCGCCTCACAGTCCTGCTGCTGTGATGGACTGCAGCCTCGAATTTTGAGCCATAATAAACCCTTCCCTCCTTAAATTGACTGTCGGGTATTTTACTCCAGCAATGCAGAAGTGTGCACTGTGTATCACCCATGTGGTGGTAACTCGCTGGTGGTCTCTCAGTCACACAACTGTCTTGGCACACTGAAGGAGCACGAAGATCCAGCTGTGCATTGCATCCATGTCTGCCAGGAGTGGGGTGATGAAGGAGCGGAACTCTAGTGCAGCAGGTGGAGGGTTTCCTCAGAGCACCTGCCTGTGGCTAACTATCGTGGCCTCACACCTGCATCGTGCTTTGCTGTCTTACAGTCAAGCACACTCCAAACTGTGTGCAATAGTCATCCCACGAGTCCTCACCCCATTCTATAGGCCAAAAACCCCAGTGCAGTGAGCCTGTCCTCAGCTCTGGATCTTAGGACTCCATCTCTTGGCGGTAGGAGGAACAAGCCAATTGCCTGCACACTGAATCAACTGAGGTGGAATTTCTTCACACAGTGGACCCTGTGAAGTGCTGTAGGGACAGAGGCTGGACTCTGTCCTCAGAGGCCTGATTCAGTAGAGGGTCTGGAAACCCTTTGCTAGGAAGGAAAAGGGGGTCACTGAGGATGTTTCCGCTCAGAGGAAAAAGCCAAGAGCAGATGCTGCTGTAGCTTCAAAGATTGTAGCGGGAGATGGAACAATGTCTCTGCAGGTGCCAGGGTCAGAACAAGGAAGTCAGGCCCAGTGAAGGAAAGGAAAACCAAACACTCCCTTTGCCTGCAATGGTAAGAACTGACTCAATGGAGTCATGAGTTCCATGCAGCCGGCAGTGACCAGGCGGAGATCTAATAGCTGTGTGGAGTAAAAGAAAGCCAGCCCGGGAGGAGAGGGGTACAGCGGGCTTCAGCTGTGACCGAGAGCACCACTTCACCTCCCTGAGGCGGCCTCCCTCGCCATGACGGCGGATAACAGTGGAATGGTGCCTGCGCTGCTGCTTGGCTGGAGCACCAGGTCAGTGTTGAAGGCAAACATCTCAGAGGTGGAAGGGTTTAATCTTCGCTCTCGGCTTCCGAGGGGTCAGTCACTGGCTCCGTTGGTTTCGAGGGTCTGTGATAATTCAGATCCTCGTGGTCAGCATGTGTTAGAGCAAAGCCACTTACCTCATGACAGCAGAGAGAAGGGCACAGAATATCCCCTGGTGAGCACACCC